TTTGTGGTGAATTAAAATACTTATGTGTTCGCTTAAGGTCAGTTACGTGTAATTGTGTCAAAATATAACCGTTCCGAACCCGAAAAACATTTGTTTTCATTGATCTAGTAATACCCGAAATCCACTAAAACGACAAAAAGAAACAACCGACACCGACAATCTTCAAGCACGCAAGGGCTCATTTAGCAGGCTTGGGCTCACTCGTGCTTACTTCACGTGCACTGAGAGGCTGCAAGCCCGCCAAAGTTACCACCTCGTGCACGCTGCACGTGCATGAAGCTTGCCCGTGTCGGTTGTTTTTGTTTGCCGCTTTAGTGGGACTCGGGCATAAGAACAACTTGGCGCAGGCGCACCGCATATATTAAACGCAAATGTTGCTTTTCTCTCTCTCTCTCTCTCTGTCTCTATCTTTCTCAGGTGACAACGAACATGGTTATTTCTCCCTGCACACCTTAAAGAAAGCACAAAGCAGTCGGCAAAGATATCTCCCAGTCGTCTTTTTTTTAGCTTTCAGGACCAAAGAAGGAATGGACTGGACAAGGTCTCTAAACTCGACAAACACGAAGTTCGGGCCCAAGTCGACGGAACGCACCGATTGGACTATTACGACGATGACTTCGCGCTTTTGTCACCGGTGTCCAATCGGCGCGCTCCGCGAACTTTCGCCTCCAACTTTGTGTTTGACGAGTTTAGGGCCCCGGGGTCCCTAAACTCGTCAAACACAAAGTTGGAGGCGAAAGTTCGCGGAGCGCGCCGATTGGACGCCGGCGACAAAAGCGCGAAGTCATTGTCGTAATGGTTCAATCGGTGCACTCCGTGAACTTCGGTCCCAACTTTGTGCTTGACGAGTTTAGAGCCCTATGAGAAATTTAGGCCTCCTCAATTATTCCAATTCCGAGACAAGAGGCCCGTGGAGTCAAAGAACCCCGAAATCTCTGGACTCGTTTGATCGCTTGGCTCGTCAACCCTCTGGACTCGCCGTGGATCTCTTGACCATTCGACCTTTCAATCCTTATTGAATCTATTGACGCGTTGCATCTCTCGATCGACCTGCGGCCACGTGAGTGTTGGATCTTTCAACTATAGACCACTTTCGAAAGTCACGTGCCGATTATTAGAAGGTCGGCACCCCTGCACAATGGCGGAACAACTGCATCAAGAAACATGCAAGTCATTCTAAAAGGTAGCGAACGTCGCAGCATGGTCAATGGTACGAGCCGACGAGCCAATCAAACAGCGTCGAAAGTGCAACGTCACTGCGCTCATCACATTTTTCTGTGGGTGTGCTTTTTGCAGTGTGCCATGAGGTTGAGGTTCTAGTCCGGCATTGTGAAGGGATTTCACAGCTGCCAACAGAAGGCAGTATTTCGAAAGGGGTCTATAGTTGGATCTTCTGACCATAAACGGGCATCCTCTACGGATCAAGTTGCCATTCGGGTTGGGAAAAGCGAGAAACCGAAGGTGGCAAAAAAAGAGGGGATCAAAGCTCTTATGTTATACTCAGTTTCACACTAAAGGCGCATTCCCACCGGCGATATAAGCAGTCGCGCGACGCGACTAGATTGAATCGCAAAAAAAATTAGATGGTCACACCGGCGTGCGCGATGAGCGAGTCCAACGCCTTCGTTGGCGAGTCGTTTCTCGAAAACTCTCGCTCCGAACGCCGTTGATCGGCTCAGCCGCTCCGCGACTAGATCGCATCGCAAAAAAGTCGGGTCGAGAAGCGACTGTTCAAATCGCGTCGTTCCCACCGGCGATGCGACTAGATCGAATCGCCGGTGGGGACGCGCCTTAAGTCCGACTGCAGCCGGCGCTACGATTTGACAGAGCCAAAACGTGCAGCGTCACGGCGCGCTCGTCGTCTTTCAGCGTTGGCTATATCGCCGGCTAAATCAATCACGAACAGTAGATGCGCCATGATCCTTTCTTCTTTCTTTTCTGCGCGTAATTGGTATTCCCGGTGATATCAAACACACAAAGACGACGATCAACGATCACGATCGCCGTGACGATGCACTTTTGGCGCTGCTTGATCGGCTTCCTCGAGTCGTAGCGTCGTCTGCGATCGGATATTGTGGAACAAAGTGTATCTAAGGACTATAATATAGGCAACGTTCCAGCTTTAATCGTTCGGGTGAAAGTTGCCAAATCATCGACCTATGGGCTCATGCGCAGCGAGAGAGCTACTGCGCATGCCCAGAACGCGTGCCAGAGCGAGGGTGTATACTTTTCCACAGCCGAGGCAAGCGGAGAAAGATGGCAGCGGGCGGAAGCCGGTCATTGAAGTTGTCCACACAAAGGGTCCAAACTCGATGCCGCAGCGACGTGAACCGGGCGTTTGCGAAACGGACCGGGAGAGAGCCCGCTTAAATCGTATCCTCTTCTTGTCACTCAACGCAATAATACTGATACGTCGTATCTGTCACCAGGGTCGCATTCCAATGCGAGGCGAGCTATAGCGAAATGCGCGGAAGAAGGATCGAGGGTGCAGCGGGTCTTGGCCCGTGACGAGGATGCCGCGATGCCGTCTCGAGTGATGGATCGACTGTTTGCTCTCGCCCGGGTCATTAGAAGCAGGGACGACGCCCTCCGTCCTGCCCGATGTCGTGGTCCGCTCTCCGCGTTGGAAGCCCGAAACAATCGGAGGGAGACCGACGAAGGTCCCTCGTCTTTTATGGCCCCGTTGCCCTACCGGCGTGAGGCGATGAAAGAGCGAGAGGTCGATCAATTTTTATATCTGCATTTGAAATCGGAATTCATAATCTCTAATGCTTTTTTTCCTTGGTTTCTATGTCTGAAGATATGTGTTGTTGGCACACGTATACTGCAGACGAAATACCTTGATATTTTAGGAAACTAAATTATAGCCCCGATATATAAACCTGAGACAGGGCCACTGAATACAAATAAGTAGTGCAACAAACAAGAAATTGCCCTTTCGATATTTATCTTTCTTTCCTCGCGTTTGTGTTGCATATTTATACGCCAAGGAACTGAGAGAGAAGAGGCGACGAGAGCACGCGGGTCGTGAGAACGTTGAGCTCTGGTTGATATGATTAGTGGGGAGACCTAAAGCCAGTTCCCTTGGTCTCCACTGCACTCGTCGGACACGTTAGAGCTCGGAACGCGGGCGTCCGGCGCTTGGCTCTCGCATTCGAATGACGTGTGCAGTGAACACAAAGGCAGATAGCATTAGGTCTACCCATTAATCGTTCCAACCAAAGCTCGGCGTTCTGAAGTTCCCGCACGCTCTCGTGTCCTACACTCCCTCAGCTTCTGGGAGCATTGACTTATCCAATCTTTTCAACGCGAAATCCTGAATTTGCCGCTTGTAGAGGACACAAAGGTTTTCATCCTCAAAACAAAAAGAAAGACATCTTTGAGTCTCACAAAAATTGCTTCTACTGTTTACGGGAACACAACTTGCTGTTATGTCGAATCAGCGGGCTTCGATCCTTCTCTTGACGAGTTTGCTTCAAGGAGGTAAAGTCCTTGAATGGGACGGTGTATTTCTTGCCCGTTCGCAACGCGCAGTGTGCATGCTCTTGGTATTCCATTGTAGTTGAATTCCCGTAATCTACAACATCTACAATGAGGGCGGTGAGGGTGTCATCGTAAGTGGGAGTACACGTTCGTGATCTGAGCGGCTTTAAAATGATCTGATCAACCTCAAGTGTAGTTTGGAAACGCTTTTCAGTTGCACGAACGCTCGTGGTGATCGGATAGTTGTGGGAATGCTCTCCTAGAGTGCAGAAAGCAAGCCCAGACTTTCCACAGCATTTTTTGTTATTGACGTACGGCTAAAAACGACAAGGGGAGACGCGGAAAATATCCGCATTCTCCATCAGTTTGAGACCATAGCATATTTTTCTTGAGGCCCCATTACGTTCAATATTGAAGCGAAACACTCGGAATGCCTAGGTTACTACTCAGCTCTCGGAAATATCGAGCGTTTTTGTCTCGCAATGTTTTGTTTGTGTTTACGCTATAAACCACGTGAAAGACTGCTCTCTACTAAAGCTCTGATATTTGGCCGGTACTCGGCAATTACGACGCACGAATATTGCTTAATAACAGTTTGTTACCGGAAAAAAATAAGAAAAAACATCCGCTGCAGGAGTTTAGTTTGCAGGTGAATGGCGATATTGTTACCCACAGCAAACACGTAGCCAGGATTTTTTTTTTTTTTTTTCGGGGGGGGGGTTGCTTATGACAAAATGCTGTATGAGGGGGAGGGGGGAGAGGAGGTCCCAGCAAAATGGAAGATTTCGGGGGGAGGGGGGGGGGGGGGGCCTGGGCCCCATGGGCCTCCCCCCTGGCTACGTGCCTGACCCACTGTATGATAAATTTGGCCGGTGCTGTACGACTGCTAGCCTGTGGATCACGCAGTAGTGATACACGACCGCCCGCCGGTTCTATGCTCATCCATATCGAAGCGCGCAGGGGTGGGGATTGAACCCAGGATCACTGGGTTCTGCAGCGCAACTTTACGCTACACGCTCTTCGAGCTGCGGTGCGCACGCTGGGATACAAATTCGAGAACGGTGTGCTACTTAGCAGCACATTTGAGAACAAAGCCCCCGAAACTATCAAAAACACTCGACGCTATTTAACGTTCATATCGTCTCTAATGCACGTGCCGTGTGCAGAGAACACTCCGCGTTGCCGTCCATTACCCTTCCACCACACCCTCTGGTCAATCCTCCCAATGTGCGTCCACCCACATGAGCCGCATCACGGTGCCAAAACCGTTTTCACCCCACCTAGAACGCGAAGTCCCCTTAACGCGAGACCCCAACGCTGCGCCCTTACCGACGTGGGGACTAGCTCGAGACCCTCAGGGACCTAACGGAACCCGAAGAGCCTCCCCCATGGTCTCCGAGGTCCCGAAGCGCGCGCCTCCCCCTGCTTCATTCGTAAGGGGCCCGCGCGGTTCGCGGCGGCGCTGGCGTCGCCCTTAGTACCGGCAGCGGCGGCGGCTTTGGCATCGGCGGCTTGGTTGGCTTGGCTCTGTCGGAGGCGCGTCTCCACAGAAAACGGAGGGACCTCCGCGAGTGTTTGGTCGTGTCTCGGGGAGCGACGGAACCGGCGATCGGAGGCAACTCGCTTTCTCGTCGCCCGTTAAACGCGACCTGCACGCGTTGGGAAAGCTGTCGGTGTGCTTCGTTGGGGGCACGGTCCTTGTCGGGGCGAGAGACAGCACGGGGCCTGCCACTGTGCGCGTGTGCGCCACACGTCGTGGCGAGCGGGGTGTGCGCGTGCGGTGCCGGTCATGGCACTCCAGGACCGCCGCTACCGGTGCTTCCTCCGGATAATGACGGCCTCTTGGATTATCGCGGCCGTGGCTGCCGCACGCAGTTCTGCTGATATCCGTGAGTCACCTTTTTGATGTCGGCTTTCACCTGGGACACCACGTCAGTGGAGCATGCTTCGGTTTCATTGCGCGCTTTCCGGCGCCTGTGGGCAAAGGTTTCTCTTCTATTATTTTATTAGGTACAATTTGAATTGAAGAAGGATATTGCCGGTTTGCGACAGCTTGAAAAGCGTAAACATTTATTAAAAGAACAATCTCGACCTTCTCTTGCCTCCTCTTTCGTGAACCAATGTTAGGATAAAGCAACATATTTCACAAAAGTTACTCTTGATGTGTGCCTTCCGCTAGTGATTATTGGTTCGGGATTGGACATTGTATGGCATAATTACCGCCAAATATCTCACATACGCAGTGCCAGTCGGCGGTGCAAAATCTAGACAAAAAAAAAACTTAATCTCCCGGTCTCCCTGGTTGATTAAAAGATAAGCAACGCCCAATGCCCCATTCTCATATCGTTATGCGGCACATAACGCATTCATCAGTAAATGATTGTGGTAATTGCGCAACATTATCTCTTTCTTGACGCTTCTGCTTATCATTCGTTATGAGCTACATATCGACATTTGGCGAGCCATGTTTATCAAATCGCACTCTAGAAACCACCTTCTTCAAATCGCATATAACTCCTTTACATCTTTGTATCAGCCTGTAGGAAATGTTTTTGGATCGACAGGCGTAAGAGCGCGTGAATCCATTCTCAAAACTCTGAAATGTTCCTTTTGAAATATTGCTGCTTCTAAATGTTCATTTGCGACAACGGCGGCCATCTAGAAACCAACTGCTTCATTCAAAATTCGAAAGGAAGCTCACACTATCAGTTAATAACTAGCATTACAAAATATATATGCTCTTTCTAATCGATGTTTCCAATTTTCACTCAAAGCTTTCTTCATTTTTCTTATTTTTTTGTGTATTGCGTTGTTGGCAAGATCCCAGGGATATTTAGCCGCAATCCCACGTCCGGTGTTAATGTCAATTTAGAAACATTAAATAACGAGAACAGTGGTGAAAACTAATTATTGTCCCCATCCACACAGTGGTTGAATATGCGCACTAAACTTCTAGACTGCAGTTTATTCGAAACACTGTATTTAGACCCTGCGCCCCGCACACCATTGCTCGCTCCATCGACGCACAGGAGGGAAGGGAGGTACTCCGTGAAAGAACAACACGGAGCTCCCGGTTGTGTGGCGAGGGCTACGCGGACGCAAAACAAGCCTCCTTTTTCCGAGGAGCGCGCACGGCTTCATCGTTGCCGTCACCCCACAAAACCAACAACGAACGAAGTAAATACAAAAAGAACGCGAAAAGAAGACCACACAGGACCATCCGCGGCACGGCGCGTGTCGTCGCGTCGACCCCCGCCCTTGCACGCTGCCACCGTTCATTCACAAAACGCACACAATCGGCGTTGGAGCGCCAAGAATCGTGGTCGTCGACAAGCGCCGCGGCGGCTAGGAGCACCGCAGTGAAACGGGCGTTTGACCTCCGACCGACGAGGATTGAGAAAGGCGGGGAAGCATCTCCGAGTGCTTGGCGGCGTCGCGGAGGGCGACTTCGCCGGAGCGGTGGCCGCCTGAGCCGTCGTCGCGTAGACGGGGCAACGCCACTCCAGGTCGGAAAGGCCGCAGCTGCCGCTGGGTGAATCACAAAAGGGTGCTGTGAGTGTGGGGTGTCCACCGCTTGGCTACAGGGGGTGGGCTGCTGCGGCGGACTTGGCCATTATGACTTTTCTCTTTCATGCGGGGTTGGTGAGGAGGTTTGCCAAAGCTACCTTCTGCGTGCACTCACTCATTATTCGGGGCCCTTTAAGGAGTGATTCGAAAGGGTTTCAAGGGGCTTTTTATTTGTATTTAATTTTATCGAGTAATTAGATTTCACGTCGCCTAGTGGGACACCAGACTTGTACACGTTACTGAAAAAAAGTAACCGATTACAATTACAATTACTTTACTGCAAGAAGTAACCAATAACATTTACCATTACATTCTCAAAAAGTACTGGAAAAATTACTCTAAAGTAATGGATTATTTCACACATTACTTTTCATTCGACTTGTTTTATTACGGTAGCAGAATCCTTGAAGTATGGCGCTCAGTTTTTCGAAAAAAAGAAACCTTGACCGTTTTTGCTTGACTGACGCCTACGCACCTCATCCATCTCGTGAGAAAAAAATTAATAAAATTAAAGTAGCGCCGTTTAAATGCATTACCCACAAGAGGCTTGATAAGACGCCATATTTTATACCCGGACGTAGTCTGCGGTGTACCAAAGTATATATATATATATATATATATATATATGTAGCCTACATATACATTAGCCTACACCTACATATATATATATATATATATATATGTAGGTAAACTAAGGTAAATATAAACACAATGGACCTGAAAAGTTAATAAGTCAAAGATGCGTACTGTCGGAGTTACTAATTCGAAGTTTATTACGACGTATATATATACACCAACTCATGTTTACAAACAAACCGGAGCGCCCCCAGCGGACGCCACCGGCGCCGCGCATGCGCGATGGGGGTGTGGGCAAAAAGCTCGCCGTCGCCCATAAACAAACCATTGAAATGCGATATTGACGGCGTCGGTGTGAGTCCCCCTGCTCTTTTTCGCGTTCGAATTGTTGATTCTACGTCTTCCTGGCGATGTCTGACTACTTGAGCGGCGTCAGCGAAATTACCGAGGATCACTACACCACGAAACTTCGCGTGAATAATGTGACATGTGGCGATTCATTCCGTGTAAACGCCGCAGTATGTACGCTAAAACCCGATTCGCATGATGAGATTTCGCTCGCAATTTTCAGTCACGACACCGCTCGGGCTACAAAAACGTGAACCGTAGCTGAGATGGTCGACGTCGATACTGAAAATCGCAAGCAGAATCGGACCAAGTCAATTAGGCATAGCAAGTCAGTGATGGTCACTGGAAACAATGATCAGCATCTCCTTGTATTTACTTTTTACATTGAGCCTTCTTACCAACCTTCAAACTTAAGTCTTTTGAGGCCTGCACTTACTTCTTATAGCAAGTATCGGCCCACATTTGGTCTACGGGCCGGCGTCGTCTAAAAAAGCAGACGACAAGCAGTAACGTTTGAAAGAGCAGACGACAGTTCGAACGATCAGGCGGCGGTTTGAACTTGAAGACGCACTGAACGCAGTCCGCAGGTGGTCCGCACAACTTGATGGTTTTCTGGCGTTCATGTTGGAACAAAACAAGTAAATCTGATGACCATAAGTATCCGTTAATTCAACCCAAAGTGCTTCCCGCCCAAGCAATCGTTGTTCGAGGGCGTCTGTTTTTCCCTTTTCACGGCACATATCCAGATTCTAGGACGAACCGAGCATGTGAAAACTGACCTTCAAACCTTTCTCGACTCTTTTGGTACGGTCCCAGTCCCGGCGTTTTGACGAGAAGGCAGGTTTTTGTCTGGTTCCTTTCAAAACAACGCAGGAATACACGCCTGGCATGGGGACTTCTGCCCACAGCCCCAGACCGGAAGTGCGACCGACGCGCCACCACCGCGCCGTGACGTCACAGAGATGAGTTGGTGTATATATATATATCCAGGAAACGAAGCACGTTCAAGCAGCCTACTAACCCTCGAGGTCCCGTGCTAAGTGGTTTTGAAAAATAAAAAAATAAGAATTGATGATTGACAAGAGCTGACTCCAGCACATCTTCCCCCCCCCCCCCCCCCCCTTCCCGGGCCCTCCTAAAAAAAAAAAAAATTGAGAAAATTTGTAATGTCTATTTTTGTAATCGATTACATCCAAACAGTAATTCAATTACAAGTATCGTTACTGCTTAAAGAAAGTAATTGAATCGTTACAAAATTACAGTAAAATATAATCGATTACAAGTAATCCATTACTTGTAACGCGTTACGTACAAGTCTCGGTCATACTACCATGAAAAAAGAGAATTCTGCAAAGAAAATTCGTTTTTGAAAAATGTCATATTTGCATTCACCAATATCTAGAGAGTATTCCTAGAACGTTTCATTTTTTTACACTGCTTTACTTTTTTAATTATTTTCTGTCCACCGATGCCAAAACAAAAAGGTAGAGGTTCAAGTACTTTGAACGCATATTTCTCCATTCCGCTATTTGGCATAAATTTCACTTGAGGAAATCTATCGTTTGGTAATTGGACAAACAGAAAGACTCATTAATCGTTTTTCCTGAGTGGAATTCAATAGGCATTGCAACTGTGGCATTGCTTTTCTTACTTTATGGAGGTCTTTTATAAAGGATGTTAAGATTTTGTCGACGACATGAAAGGCAACAGATGTATTTAATTCTTCAGTGCGACGTTAGCATGAAATAAATTACCTCTTTGAAATTTTGTTTTAAGAGTTGCACTTTCGAGGCATTCTGCTGCATATATAGTAAAAATAAAAGACACGCTAGTTTTCTAACGATAGTTTTCTTGAACGACGTCAGTGTGTTCCTGATAAAAACGACTATAATCTCCTTCACAATTCATGTACAGAGATGAAACTTTGCACTGCATTCTGTCTCGCAACTGCCAGTGTATACTGTAAATTTGATTCATATTAAACCAAAAATTCAAACCTTTACCCTTTGGGGTGGCGTCCTCTCTTCAGCAGGTGCTTAGTAGACCCGTACTTCCAGCTTAACCGAACGACATTGGTCTCGCCAAGTGTACGCTCGATACTCTACGTGAGACGGTTAACCGAATCCTTTGTTCGTAGGGTGTGAGCAGGGGCCACAACTGCACGGAGCCCATCTCCACCAAGGATGCGAAAGTGCTTCGTTTTATTTTATGAGCCGGTTGCATCTCTTACGAACTCGAGCAAAAGTAACAACTTGCCCGACATTCTCGCTTCAAGATCGCGAAAAGCGCATCGACCAAGGACAAGTATAAGAAGTGAACAGTCGTATTGGGTAGTTTTCACGTATCCTTGGTGCTAGACTGAAAAGCAGAGTGACGTTCGAACGTGCCTCGGGGCCAA